AGGCCGTGCCCCCTTGCGCACCCCTCATTCCCAGCCTCCCACCCCACCCCTAACCAGTGAATCGTGCCTGAATCAATCAGAGCGCTTGCACTGGTCCGAACTCACCGAGGGCCTCCTCCAGCGGCCACTTCATGTTTGCTAGATTAATTGCAGCCGGGGGAGGGGAGGGAATCCATTTTTAGAAAATCATTACTTTCAGAAAGAGAGGGGGGCGCCTCTGGTTGGGGAAAACTGCTGAGCTGGCAACTCGGGCCTGCTGCTCCAGCGCCAGGAAACCTGGGGCTGTGCGGGGCTACTCTGCTGGGTGGGCACCGCCTGGGGGCCCACACTCCCTCCTCCTGGGGCCGGGAGCCCTCCTGCCCGGGTCCCAACGGCCTTCGCTTCCTGCTCTGGCCTGGACTTGGCAGTTTGCTGGCATTCTGAGCAGCAAGGAACCACCCCAATATTGACCACCCCACACTGCCAGCTGGCTTGGTCGGATGTCTTCTTTCAGCCCCCTTGCTGCACAGACCCAGAGGGTGATGCCAGGGGCAAAAGATCGCCACTGCCTTGAATCGAGCATCTGGTAGATGAAATGACATGAAATTGCCATTTAGTAGGCCGGTATTGTCAGTCCCACGTGCTTCAGCCTAAGCACCACGTAGCGAGCTCTTCAGTGCGTTTTCTCACTCATCCCCCGCTTGGCCCCATGAGGCAGGTATGATGCCCATTTCATGCCTCAGAAACCGAGGTTCACAGAGGTTAAGTGACTTACCCAAGTGAGCGCGCAAACCTTGGTCCCTCTGACTCCAAATCCAGGACCCTGAGTCACAGCCCCCGCCCCACCTGCCGGGCCCTCGTGCCGTGACTGTCTACAGCCGTGCTGCCAGCGGGGCTGCGCTGATGGCACCCAGACGGGCAGAAAGCTCCCCTGGAGGCCGAGTGCGGGGGCCTGACTGTCAGGACGTCTGCTTGCTGTGGGCTGGGTGCAATTCCACCCTCCCCCTCCCCCAGGCTGTACGTGGGTGTCCTGGGCAAACCGCTCACCTGTGGGAGGCTGTCCTCTTCCCGAGCCGGCTAAGGCCTGCCTGCGTGGCGCCGCAGCGTGGGCATGCACTGGGAAGACCCTTGCTGCCCAAAATCTGTACAGACGCCAGGTGGTGTCTCTATTGTTTGGTGATCAGATCGACGTGGTTCATTCAAACCAGAGCTTGTTTTAGGGAAAAAAATATGCCCCACTCAGTCACCCTTGACCCAGGCCTGCCTCTAGAGATGAGATGTCACAGAGGTGATGAACTCTGATGCTACCATTTGCCAGCTAGGGGACCTTGGGCAACTCTTTAACCTCAGTTGCTTCATCTGTAGAATGGGGCTCATAATAATAGTATCCACTTTTAGGGTGGTCGTAAGGATTATATGGGAAAATGCCAAAGTAAAATGCTTGGAACACTACTTACCATGCAGAACACCATCACTGCTGGTTGTTGCTGTTATTATTATTATTGTTATTATTATTTCCATCCCAAGCTAAGCCCACAGTTCTGCCTCTCCCTCCCTCACTGGGACAAACCCTGTCTGAGCACTGTGTTAGGAATTTTTAGGGCAGTAGATCTTAAGTGGGGACCCAGCTGAGACCCCAGGGTACCAAAAGCTTACTGCTCATTAGGGAAGAGAGAATCTTACTCCACTGATGTCTCTTTAGAGCAGAAATTTTTAAGGGGGGTGGGGTGCTTCCTGGAGGAGGCGTGGTTTGGGTTGCATAGTGAAGGATAAGACCACCAGTTGAAGAAGGAGCTGGAAGACATTTGCTTGGAAGCACATAAGCCAAATGTGTTTGAGGAACCGCAAGTCACTCTGCATGCTCAGGACTGAGGGGGTACGTGTGTGTGCCTGTGTGTGTGTGTGCATGTGTATGTGTGTGTGCATTGTGTGTGTGTGCATTATGTGTGTGTGTGTGTGTGTGTGTGTGTGTGTGTGTGTTGCAGGCAGGGGTGGGTGGTTAAAAGGTTGGGAGGCGAATGCTGAATGAGTAGAAGGAAGACCAAGGTGGCATTAGGAGGCCCTGAGCTAAATCATTACCAGTGGGAATAGAGCAAGGGAAGATATGTGAGAAATGTTTGCGTTTTTAAATAATAATTATGGATGGAATGAAGGAGGGAGGACGGGATCTGGGTTTTTTTATTTCATGATGGAGGACAGGACATGGAAGATGGGAGAATCCAGGTTTCTGGCCAGAGCAGCTGAGGCATTTGCAGGGCGAGGGGAGATGAAAGCACCAGAGTGACGTTGTTTTCCCGGGGACAGGGTGTGGCCTGAGAGCTGAGGGCAGAACCCTGTGACACACCCCAAAACCTGACTGGTGATCAAAGAGGAAGGAGAACCAGGTGACAGGAAAATTTCCTTCCAGTGAGGCATCTCCTCCTCCCCTCCACGAATCCAAGCTCCACCTGGGCTGGATGTCCTGGCTCCTCTGGGTCCCATGTGGTCCGAGGTACACCTGTGCTGCTGGCAACCTCGAGCTGGGCATCTTGTCCTCCAGCACCACTGAGGCCAGGGGGCGCCTGCTGCAGTCCTGGCGCCCAGGAGGTACCCAGGGGATGCCTGTGGGGAAGGCTGCTCTGGCCAGATGAGGGAAGTGTCCTGGTACCCCTAACACGGGATTTCCCCTAAGTATCCCTCTCTCCCTGACCCAGAGCCAGCCTCTCCATCGG